GTAATTTTCATAAATATCTTTCTGAGGATATTGTTCAATGAAAGAATGCCTGAAAGAATAAAGGAAGTCATGGCACACACAAACATTCATCAGAATGCTTAGAGTATGTTGTACTCTCAGAGACAGAAATTTATGGGCAGAAGCTCATTTGGTGAATATGTATTGAGCTCCTGCTATATTTCAGATGCTGAAATCCACTTTATTTCAACTATTAATAGTGAAACTTTTTTTTAAAAAAGTTAATATATGCTTTATTGCTTTGGAAAGTACAAAAAAAAAGGAAGAAAAGAAAGAGACATCAGAAAGAAAATAGTTTGTACTTTGAGAAAAAGGAAAGTACTGTTATGTGAATGTCCAGTGTTTATCCATAGATAAGATTATGAAGGATTTTTTTTTTTTTTTTTTTTTTAGTTCATGGCTATCATTCTAATATAGAAAATAATAATGTTTCTGAAGTTCCTCAGCAGGCACATGTTGGTGTTAAACTGCCTGGGTTCAAATTCAGGGCTTTCCATTTTGATGATGAATAAATTTTTCCGGTATCTCCATCTGTAAAACAGGACTATACATTCTGTATATAGCTATTATGAAGACAAATGATTGTGGTACCTTGGCTTGTAGGAAACCCTTAAGGTGAATGGTAGCTGTTTTTGTTATCACACAGGGTTTAGTCTAGAAAAGACAGACAAGTTTGGACAGAATAAATTGAGAACTTGAGGACACGCCTTTGAACTTTGATTTTGTTTTAATGCTATTTACAACATGCATAGTGGAAAGAGCACAACCCTTTTATTTGTAGTTTAACTTTTTTGGCTGCATTTTTTCCTGAACATGGAGATGACAGTAGCCTAGTGACAGGGCTCTTGTACAGATCATATGTATGAGTGTGCCTGGAACTTAGTGAGCTCTCAATAAATATCACTTTTCTTCTGAGAGTCAAATATGAGGAAGCAATTCCTTTTAATTACAAGTGTTGATGAGCTGGGTTCTAGTTAATTGAACTGTAATATGTAAATCAACTTAATCTGGACTGGCTCTGCCAGATAAACAATCAACACCTGGTATGGTTTGGTTGAGCACCTGTATTTGTTTGATTTTGAAAAATCCTTTCCTCTTTTGTAGCTTCTTCACTTTATGGATCCCTTAACCCATTCTGCAAGCTCTTTGTATTTCCAGTTGAAGGAAAGATTTTCCAGAGAACTTTAGAAAGTTTTAATTGTTGGTCTTAATATGGTTGATTTAAGTGAATCCAAGTCAGTTGCAGACAATGGAACAATAGGTTGGTACCTCATCAGTCCTTGTTTATTTTTTAAGTAAAGGGGGAAAATGGGAAGTGTTCCAAACTGAGTCACAGGTAGTGGCGAGGGTTAAATGAGTAAACATTGTGGTCTTTATAGAAACAGATACTGGGTGGAAACTAGAGAGTCCTCAGCAGTCATCCTTGTCCATTTATTCCCTTATTGGAATATCTTCCTGGTGTGGCATGATAGAAGAAAATAAACAGAAAGAGGTGTTCATAATACAGTAACATTGAAATAAGTGTGCAAGAGAGTCGTGCCAGTTGAGTAAGGTGGGAGGGAGTAGAAATTCATTGAAATGAGGGAGACCTAGTAAAGGAAGCTAAAGAGAAAGCATTGGAATCTTGTCCAATGATAATTTTATGTTTTTTAGTGGAATTATGCTGGTCGGGTACATCTCTATCTTGGTAATTGTTATTACCCCAGGACCTTTACTTTAAAAAAGTGTTCTTAGTCTTAAGCACCATTGACACTTTGGGCTAGATAATGGTTGTGGGGGTCTGTCCTGTGCATTGGAGATGTTTAGCCACATCCCTGGCCTCTGTCCACCCACCTACCCACACCCAGTACCCACCCATCTACCCACCCTCATTCAAAATGTTTCAAGATCTTACCAAATGTGTGGGGGAAGGGAGCAAAATCACCTCTGGTGAGAATCATTGCTTTAAAAGGATTACCTGAGGCAACAACATCCCTCTTAGGCTGTGCTTATGGAGTGCTCATAAATCAGGTGCCTTTTGGATTTTTCCAGTATATTCTGGCTTTGTCGCATTGGGAGCCCAGTGGAGATTTCCTCAAAGCAAGCCAGCTAAATCCCTACCACGAGGGCCTGCAATGCCACATTTCTAAATGTTGCTGGAATTCCTGAATTATTTTCTATGGTAATATGAATTTTGTCTTCAGTGATCCTTACCCCTCTTAAATGACTACTACATGGGAATAATGACAATGCAGTTCTGTCTGTGTTGCTTTTATTTACTATCTGGCAGTAAGTAAGGAGGAGTCACGGACACTTTAATTAAGTGTGGGCCTTCCTGGTGGCCTAGGGCTTCAGCGCTGCCACCTCAATGACCTGAGTTCCATCTTGGCCAGGGAGCTAACCCACATAGGATGCAGCAGACCTCTCCTGTCTTGACCACTGCTCCTCTTGGCAGTGTATATCAGTAGATCTGCCTGTTCTGCTCTCCACTTATCACTAATGAATCACCTTCTACACCTCTGTCCTATATTCCAATTCTTCTATGCAAAAATAACTGAACAAAAACTTAAAAAAATAGGCATAACCACAAGAGTCCACACTAGGGGAAAGTGAATTGCTAAGTGGTATTTTAGGAAAACAAAGACTTAGTAAAGTAAAAACATCCACTTTCTTCTTCACTTACAGCCTTACTGTTATTAATAACTTAGATGTCTTATTTATGCCATTATTGGACGTGCATACAATTTAAATATTTTAGCTTCCATTATACAATTGGGTCTATATATGACTGACCTTCAAGGGCCCCATTCATAAGGGATGTGGAGAGGGAACAATCAGCTACTTCATGCAGGGGCTGGCCAGCCAAGTAGGTTTCCCAGCATTGTCAGACAAACCACGACACAGGGAACACTTCTGAGGCATTTGGAACATGGCAGGGTCCGGATAGAGAATGATGAGAGTGAGCTTTGGGGTAGGGAGAAAGCTAAGGCTTTTTTCTTTTTGAAAACGATATCCCATCTTTGTTCCAAGGGAGAATGAAATATCCATTAAGACACTGACACTGGGAATTTTGTTTCAGCTCATTCCTTTGTTGCGACTCCAGGGCAGTAGAGAGGAATTTGGGGTGTCGAAGTATCAAGCCAAGATGAGAAAGAAAAGGAATTCCTTCTAAGGATTTCTTCTATTGTCTCCTTAAGAATAAATATTTATAGAGAAAGTTCAAGTGAAGTCTTTACAATGGTCATGGTTTTAAGACTAAGCCTTTGAGAGATTACATGTAAAACTATTCTTAAATGAAGGGTGATCCAATTAGGTTTTCCAGAGAAAACCAAGAAACCTCAAGATAATTTCCTATCTAAAATCTAATTTTGTTCTCAAGTGGACTAGGAACACCACTCTGAATTATACCAGATCCATAGACTGCAGCAAAATGTACAGCCAAATTGGATTCTATTTTAAGTAATTAAGTTATTTCCCTTCACAGGATCTATAATTTGCCTTCAACAAATGTGATTTGCTTCAGAAAGATAAGACATTGCAATTTTTCCTCCAAAATGGATTTTCTGCGCCAGAAACAATTACAAAAAGTAGACCAAATATTGCCTTAATTATATCCTACATATTATCTTTTGAGTGCATGCCTAGAGTGCCTTGTTTTGTGTTCTAAAGTGAGATAGGTATGGTGGCTACTATAGTTTAGAAATTCTCTTTAAATGGAGACCAGAGTTGAAATTTACTCAAGTCTGGGGCTTGCACAACAGTGGTGTCAGTAGCAATGGATGATGTTACATAAGAGTCCAAAAGCTTGTGCAAAATATGGGTAATGGGGAGCTTGCTTCAGTGAACCTTTCTTTTATGCTCCAAAAGCACCAATTTAACATTTGTCTGCTTGACTGAACCCCTGAGGTACAATAGATGGTGTTGAGATTTGCATGGGAGATATTGCAAGAGGGATATTTTTGGCATGGTTAACTTTATGAAGAAAACATTCACTTTTGGCTTTATTTTCAATAACAGTTCAGTTGATTTATGACCAGGTGTTCTGGGGGGGGGGCATAATGGGTAATAGTTAAGAGCAAAGACTGAAATAATGAATGGAATCAACTCTTAATATGTCCCCTTGAAAATATAAGTTGTGGAATGTCTCTGAATGAAGAGGGAATAAAGATACTTACATTGAGAATACAGGAGTAAAGCACCTAATGTCTGGCACAGCACAGACCAGGATTAAACAGGGAATAACAATAATAAAGTATACTTCTTATTCTTAATACATTTTTATCCTTCCGGATAATTATTTTTTCATAGGTACTAGGGCTGGCCATTTCTAAACTTTTCTGAGTTGAAAATGAGTATGATTTCAGATTTATTACCTGGTTTGAAATACTGGCTATACCACATGCCTTGGACTAAGTCACTTAGGCGTTGTAGATCTTGTTTTCTTGCTCTCAGAAAGGTAAAGAAAATAGATCCAGAGCCTTTCAGAAAGGGTGTAAGGGTTAATAATGGTAAAATATTCTCAGTATATGACCTATAGACAGTACTTGACATGCCAACAGAAACCAGAACATAACACTAAGTTAAGTTTATCATGTACTTTTATTAACAACTAAATACAGACTGTACAACATTACGTTGCTGAAATCAACCCACTCCTGAAAATCAAAAAACCAGCATTTCTATTCAGGCTTTGGTTATAAGTGCCATCTTCTACAGCAAAAATCAGATAGTGTAACCAAACAATTTAAGAACAGGAAAAATAAAAAGTAATCCATGGAATAGAGAAATTATTCATGCACAAACAGCAGAGGGTCATTTCTAGCTTTAAGTAACTGACTACATACTCTGGAATGTTCATTCCCTATTCTACAATCCTATTACCAGACATATAACAACTAAGAACTTGGCCACAGGTCCTGCCTAGACACTCTTCAACATGAAACAAGAAAATATTTATATAAATAAGTCAAGTAAACCTCACTAAAAAACTAAAAAAAAAAAAAAAAAAAAAAAAAAAAACAAGGAAAAATGCAACAGTCAATAAAAAACTGTACAATATTGGTCAGTCTTTTACATCTGAAAAAAAAAATGTGTAACTTAAAAAGTTTCTTAAGTCTTTTACATCAGCGTTAGCTGGAATGAAAACTTGAAGATTCAGACTCAGTTGAAACAGAAGAGTGTCCACCCCTCTTTCCCTTAGAGAGGATTTTGAGGCTGGACCCTCTGCTCACAGAGGTGAGTGCATGCTGTGCAGAGGTTTTAAATTTGGCACCCAGGAAGGCATACAGAATGGGATTCAGGCAGCAGTGGAGAAAGGCTAGGGCTTCAGTGATGGAAATCCACTTGTGCACAGTGTTCTGAAATTCGCATCCTTGATTGATGATTTCCAGTAGAATGAACGAGTCGATGGTGATCCCAATATAGTAGGGCAGCCAGCAGGCAAAGAAAGCCAGGATGAGGATAACTGTGGTCTTCAGGGCCTTACGCTTCTGGTAGCCTTTGGAATGTGATAGCTTGGATATGATAATGCAATAACAGGACAGGATGATGATACCAGGCAGTATAAGGCCAACCATGATGTGCTGAAACTGAAATACCACCAGCCACAAGTCACTGGGGTAGAAACGGTCACAGGTAGATGTGTCATCTGCTTTCTCGGCATCGGCAAAGATGAGATCAGGAATAGACAACAGGAGAGCAGGTATCCAGACACCAACATAGACCACTTTTTCAGCCAACAGTTTCCTTGGCCTTTGACTGTTGGTGGCATGGACAATGGCCAGGTACCGGTCCAGACTGATAAAGGCCAAGATAAGGACACTACTGTAGAGGTTGACTGTGTAGATGACATGGACTGTTTTGCATAAGAACCTCCCAAAGTACCAGCTTCCCACAGCAGCATCAACTGCCCAGAAGGGAAGTGTGAGGACAAATAGGAGGTCAGCCACTGACAGGTGCAGTCTGTACTTGTCTGTCATGCTTCTCAGTTTCTTCTGATAACCCATAACGAGGACGACTAATCCATTGCCTATTATACCAGTTAAGAAGATGATGGAATAGACAGTGGGCAGAAAGATACGGTTGAAATTGGCATTTTCCTCTCGGAAGCAGGGTTCCTTCATGGAGTCATAGTCACCAGAACCCCCCAAGTCTTCCTCTGTGTAGTTATCTGAAGAATATATCTGCAAAAAAGGCAAGGGAATGGACATTCACTTTCAAGTTCTGTAGACATTACTTGTATTACTACAGTTAAAAGTTTGTGATATTTTAAAAAAGTAATTTATAAAAGCAATTCTGTTCCCTTTCCAGGAAATTCTGCTTCGAAAACTATGGAATTCCACAACCCTCCTTTCTCATCTTTCCCCATAGTCACTTCATTATATGCATCTTTGGTAGAGCCAATTAAAAATTCTTTGTTTGGAACAAAAGGGCGCTAAAGATTCTGACGGTTTCAAAGTCAAGTCTTTTGCTAACTTCTGCCCCGCCCACTAGAGGGAAGGAAAAAATAACTTAAGAAGAGAGAAAAAAAAACCCAAAACACAAAGAGGCCACTCCCAGGCAGCGGGGAAAGGGGGAGGGAGTGGAGGAGAGGAGTGCGGTAAGACTCGTCCTGAAGAGCTGCGATTAACTTTCAGTGTGAAGATTTGGGAGGACACAGTAGAGGGGAGGTGGAACACCAGCGAGGGGTTCCAAAGACTCTCACTCTCCTATGGCACTACTTCCCCCACGCTTGTCCCAAGACATACTGTTCTGCAAAACAAGCAACCTGTAGTGGGGAAGGAGAATGTGGGCTTTGGTATTAGGGGTACTGGGTTGGTGTCAGAAGTGGGCACCCTCTCTCTCCAGTTGGCGCACCTTAGGGGCATGGGCTTCTCGCTAAATCCGTGTACTTCACGCGTTTGGTACATCAGGAAACGCGCACTATTTTCCTAGGAGAGGAAGGTCACGGGGTCCGCACCCGTGGTCTTCGCCCCAAGTTTCATTTCCTCACTCTCCCGGATCGCTTCCCACCCCGCCACCGATCCAGTATAGGGGCGGGAGGGCTGGGGCTAGGGACCTCCAGGCGGAGCGCGAGCCTAGGGTCGTGTAGCGGTGTCCGGCCTCGCTCAGCCGCCGCACGCCACGCCCGCTGCCCGACGCCCGCGGTTCGGGGGTGGGACCCCGCGCATACTGGCTTCGACCGCAGGATGCAGGGGAAAGATTGGGCGGCACCGCCGCGTGCGCCTTTGAATTGCGCGCCGCGGGGGGAAAGGGTTTCAAAAGGCTTCAGGAAACCACCGACGGTTAAACGGCGCAATTGGGTTCGGCGAGAGCCAAACGGTCTCCTCACTTGCACCTGCTAGTCTGTGCCACGGCGCCCCTCAGACAGGTGCCCCCCCTCCCACCTTACCGCCCTCATCCCCAGTATTCTCACCCAGCCCCCGCTGTGCGACCTTGGGTTGCTGCTGCAGTTATTGCCTATACTCAGCATCCTCCCAAACTTCAAGTGCCTCCAAGACTTACACCATTCAGGCAAGCCATCTTTCCCGCCCTCTACTGAGTCCGGAGCACAGGCACAGTTCCTCAGGTTGCTCAATTTAGCAAACCTGGGCACAACTGCAATGATGGCCCCCAGGTGCCTTAGCTCGAAGTCTACCAGGTAATAGTCTCCCGTCGAGCACTCACTCCCGGGACGCTTCCCCTCCACCTTTAAGTTCAGATCTAGCAAATTCGCCTCAAAAAAACTCCCGCGCCCCTTTTTAAGGGAACCGCGGTCTGAATCGGAGGCCGTGCGCGCACGCCTTCTCTGCACTTGTGCACAGAATGTTCTTATGTTTGCAAACAGCTTGCAAACCCGGCGCGCGCCATAGGGCTCAATGGGACTACCCACCGCAACGGTCGTCCCAGTCTTTTCCTCCTGCTTACAGAGGAAAAAGATTCCAACCCACACACCCTCCACAAGCCCGCTCCAGGTAGCCAGCCAGCGCACGAAAATTCCTTCCCACGCGCCCATCCCCAGGGCACCGCACATTCAATGTTCTGGTCTCCCACAGACTCCGAGAGGCTAGGCTGCTAAATTCAGGTATATGTATGTTTAAGAAAAAGCATGTTGAAAAATTGACTTACACGGAACCCATCCATGGTAATCTCTTGCTCTCCAGCCACGGTGGCTACCCAAGCGCCAAAATCCACGGGGTTACTTCGCAACCTGCTGCTGCCGCAACCAACAGACTGAAGTTTCTGGCCCAGGCAGCACTTTTATAAAAACACGCTTGTCGCGTGACGCATGCGCCTCAAGGAAGGGCG